TGAGGCTAAAGTGGTACAGAACTAACAATAAAAAGTTCAGTTCCTGGTCCTTCTGAAATCTTCGTGTACATTTGAAAATACTTCAACTACATGATGATATTATTCGTTACACAGTTCGCTATACCCTACTAGTCCATGGTACAGACATATTTTTAGCAAATTATAAACGTTCGTCAAAAATTTCGTGTATGGCTTCCTTCATCTTATCGCAACCTACAAAATTTTTATCTACGAAAATTCTCAGAAATGAAGCGTTCTCTCGTCAAATTAATTAATTTCACCTGTGAGGTGACCTTCGATATTTCACAGCACAAAAAGAGATGTAAATAAATTGATTTATCTTGAAATTGATTTAAACCCTGTTATTTGAATTTATCCGAATCCGAGAATAGATTACTCGAACGATAAAGTGGCCCAAGCAGATGAGCCATATTTATTTAATATGAATATTTGTCTAAATATAATATGAAAATTAAATAAATAAAATTAAAATCCCAGTTAGATATTTTTAGGTATGCATGACCACATTAGAATGTAACCGGATCAGCTTCGAAAGCCGAAACCTTTTGCTTGAAAGGAACAGGAACTAGGCAAAAGCCAAAATCGATAGCGTGTTAATTAATTCGAGCTAATTGGTACCCCAACTGACCGGGACCCACTCTCGGAGAATGAGAGCAAAACAAAAGGCTATCCACTTTTACTGCCGATCTTCTCTAGTCCAGTACTGAATCATCTACCTGACAATATTTAGATGCTTGTACATGATATGTATATAGGATGTCTCGTAAGTAGAGGGAAATATTTAATGAGGTGATAGCAGTCCTTAAGAACTACAAAAAGTTTATACGAAAAATGTTCCAATTTTCCGCAGAAAGGTAGGGAATTTAAGTTTTGGATTTTTTAAAAGGTATTGCCCGTTTTTTTATGAGCAGGAAGCAAAGAACTAAAACGTTGAATGATGAAAACAGCGCACGAAATCATACATAAGGAGACAAAGATCAATATATACCGTGATGGAGGATTCTCAACGAGTCTAAAATATTAGTATCTGCCATTGTCTTCATCTGCTCCCTTCCAACAACGAGCTTCTCCAAGAAATCACTTGTAATAAGAGGGATGATTCTCTTCTTTCAAACCACATCCCTTTAACTGAGAAGCTTCTCTCTTCTAATTAAATACCTTCTAATTAAATACCTATATTTTTCTTTTGAGTTGGGTATGCATTTATTACAAAGTTTCTCTTTTCCTGCTTATATCTTAATGTTTTGATCTTGATCATTCGTTTCAAACCTGATCGTGGGGTCAACTAGAAGCGTTTCATTTTCTGTTGCATTAGACGCTAAAATGTCAACGAACCTTGCAGAGCATTCTGTATCTAGACAATAAATTCGAGGAAATATGAAAAGGTGTTCCTTTCTAGGATTTGTGAAAGAATTTTTTTTTTTATCGTGTCGCCAAAAAAAAAATATTAAATTGAAGTAGAGTTTTCCATTGTTTATGAAGTTTAGTTTTATTAAAAAATAAGTTGAGATTCATCTTGTATTGTGTAAAAAAATAAATAAGATGATTTGATATGTTGCCACCTAAAAGTACCAGAGTTTTCAGCAAAAAGGACTACAATAAATTATAGAGAAGCTTTAATTTATTTTTTTTCTTCTTCAACCTGGCATGAACAAGAATAAACATAACTGTATAAATAAATAAGTTATTTGTATTGTTAATGTTACAAGGCGAAAGCAAGCTAACGGTAATAACACTTTCATTAGTAAGAAACAATAATTATTCGTAACCATGTTATATATCACATTCATCTACTCATGTTTTCAATCATTGTAAGGGGATCAAAATAAACAACGAATATTATTCATTTAGTAATAAAAAAGTTCGATTGAATTATGTAAATCAATTTAACTAATAATGATATTTGTCCATAAGTATTGATATTTGATCATTAAAACCAATTTTAGGCGCCAGTTTTAAGAGATAGTAAATGCAAAATGTTTATTTCGAGAAAATCCAGATTTTCATATAAGTTCTTAAACAGACACTGATTATGTTTTTTCAACAAATTTGACACGTTTTTTTCGAATTATGTATACAAAAAATAGCATTAAATATTCTCAAATAGGTGGATTGGTTTTATTCATTTACATAATTAACCATTTCAATCAACAATCAATGTTATTTGTCTTAAATCTGATGATATTTTCTTCATTCCAAATATTTTCAGTCGTGAAATTTCATTACATATTGTTAGACTGTAACACTGTAAATGCTCCTCTCTCCTGAATATTTTTTTTAAAAAATCAGACAAATACTTTATTTTATGGGTCATTTATATATTTATTTTATTTTATTTTTTGTTAAAATAAAATCAGAATTAATTTCCGTTTCAGAATTCATCTAAACGGCTAATTTCAAGGACCTCTCAGTTGCAAAAGGTCTCTGCGTGGGTTACTATTTCACCAAGAAAACATGTTATGAACTAAAACCCAGACGTTAGGTCAGCACAAAACTTCAGCCACTTATGTCGATAACGATTAAAAAAAAAGTGCTATTGTTTCTTACATTTTGGATCTAAAAAGCTCAATTTTCGGTAATAGTGGTTTAATGAGCTAGGTGCGTCGCAACAAAAATTATACAATTAAAAAAAAGGGAAAATCTTAGTTATGCTGTAAAACATACTGAAGAGCTATTTTAAAAATAATTGAGATTTCACGAGAGCAGAGGGCAGTGGGATAATTTGAAAATTTCGAAGTATGGTGGCAGAATTTATACGTTTTCAATTTAATCTCAAAACTTCATCATTCAGTATATTTTTTTATTTTATTAATATCTTTAATATAAACTATTAATTTGTCTGTGTATAGATCATTTATTTAATTCTTCTATTTGGCGGTTCCTTATTTATCCACCCTCCCTGGATTTACTGCATGATGTGAGAAAAATAGATTAAGCAGCGACCAAAATATCACCCAGCGTACAAACTACGAGTTTCTGTTTCTAGTGTTTGTTTGTCCTAGATCTTTCTTGCAAACTTTGAAATGGACAAATTATTTTTCTGTTTATCTTTCATATATTTTTTTATTTATTAATTTTTTTCAACTATATTGATTAATCTACTCGATAGTAATTCCTTTTTTAATTACAAAACTATTTATGGGTTGAATTTTGAGTATTTTCTATTTATTTTTTGAGGAGCATTACATTTTCCTCAACTTCGTGGTTTTTACTTTCTCTATTGAGATGAGCTTTTTTACTCCGTATCGTATTTGGAAGTGAAATGTAAAATAAAAAAATTCTATATTTTCCTTTTTTTTGTGTGGATTTGGAGATTTTTTTTTGGAGAAGTTGATCCATATATGTAAAAAAAAAAAGAACCGCTAATTCAAACGCTTATCTCTTATCTTTTTTCAATATTAAAAACAATTAGTATAGATTTAAAATTATGGTTTTGTTTCGTTTCCAATAGAGCTATTTTATTACAATTTTTTCTATTTGTTTTAAAGCCTAATATAATTTTTATTAGAACACAAGATAACATGAAAATAATGTGGAGGAGCAAAATAGGTACGTCTCGGCACGTTTTCAACTAAACCTAATTCGACTTTCACGCTTGCTTCGAATCCTTCTTCATCTGACACAAGAAATATGAAATCCAGGAATTAAAAGATTTTTTTTTCAATTTTATTTTTTTGTTGAAGATACTTTCTAATTTCGTCCTCCTTATTCTTTCTACTTCTTTCACTGATGTATCTAGGTTGGTGAAAAATAGGTGTATTTAATCCCTCATTTCAGCAATCGATTATTGTTAGAACATATGGCATAGATTGATTGCGGTTTTCGGGGATTTATCGATGTTTCGATCATTGAAATTGATTACAATCTGAATTAATTAAATAAATTGGATTTTTCTAAAAGCTATATGGATATTTTATACCTAGCTCGAAATCATGTCTCTAAATGCTCCTTTTCTCAGGAGGTGGAATAATTAATATTGTGATGAGGCCATTTGTTCGAAATATTATAAAATGTTAATGTGTATAAAAATAAGTTATGTTTAATTTTTTATGTGATCTTCGATATAATTAATTCTTAATTTGTTTTAGTAGAATGTTTCGATAATTGGGTAACATCAAGTGTCTAGAAATGAGTCACTCAAAAGTCAAATGAATCACTTAGAAGATCTTGTTAAGTAAAAAATAAAAAATCTACATTTTACAAAAATATGTAGAAACAAAAACTCATTTTTATTTAGAATTCACAAACTTCAAAGACAAAAAATTATTATCTAATATAATTGATATAAGGTATATATTGCTGCTGCTTATTAATATTTTTCTATGGTACTTCGAGATGGTCTCATGTTCCTCACCTTTAAAAAAGACCAGTTAAAGTAGCTTTTCTCTCCATTCCGCCAATAATACTTCTATGGATCCAAAGGATCAACATCCGGCATCTTTCCGACATCTACAGTTGCTAACAATTCAAACCCGTAGACCCCTGACAGAAAACAATATTCCGTATTTCCGACCTTCATACCCCTTCCCTTTGAACTGAAACCTTCGAACGTTTCATTCTTGTTCACTCCACTGTCTGCTGGAATTGAATATGCTGCCACCTAATATTCATTATGCCTCTTCTCTGTCCTCATCCAAATATCTTCTTTGATAATACCTTCTCAAACTCACACTAAAATCAGGAAATTATATTTTATGAACAGCATTCTGAATGAAGTAAACGCCCGTTTTTATAGTTCTAGTTTTAACTTAAAGTACTTATATCTTTTTTTTTCAAATTCTTTTCATTGAATTATCTTTATTCTCAAAAGGATTTTACTTTCTTGTTTTTTATATATTGTTGCAGTTTATTTATGTAGTTTTTGGACTTATTTGTTTTTTGTTTATTTATTACTTATTATTCTTAAAGGACCTTATCCCAAAATAAAGTTTATTTTCTATTTACTCATTATTTTTATTTAATAATGTAAATTTTCTTACCACGGTAAAGTCTTGGTGTTCGTCATCGCTGGCTGGCAGCGACATAACTCCGGAATCGCTAACATCGTCAATGTCCGTTGAGTCATACCTTGTTTCTGAATTTCGAAATACAGTTTTCTGAAAAACAAAACAAATAAATATATTATTTTACGATATTCAAATAAATTAATATACCTATATTACTTGAAATATTTTATTTTTTTGGCTTTATTATTAGGAAATTTTCGGTTTGGCAAGAGTGACGAAACTAGATAGATGGCTTATATAAAGATCCATTATCCATTATGACTTCTACTTCTCATCATATGTTTTCTCTTTTTGTACGGCCTACTCGATCTTCCCATGGGATAAGCCAAGGGAATCTTATTGTGGGATAAACTATATCCCATTAATTGCATACCTTCCCATAAGTCTTCGTAGTCAACTTCTCACAGACATTTTTAATAAATTAACGCAATCATAAATATTATAGTTTATATGAGGTAGCAGTGAAATTTGAAACCGTTTGAAAGTTTGAATTTTTCGCTTTGTTCTTTATGACCTATGTATTAGATATAATAAAAGAAGAACAACGACACATGTCATGACGTCGTATAAATAAAAAGAAATAATAGAAAAAGTGACTATAACAGAACCAGAAATAGAAAGTGAAACAAATAGAAGCGCTTACATTGACTGACTAGAACACGAGGAATAGAAAGCTAGAGTGGTAGGAAAGGTACAAGAAAATTCGATATAGAGTATGTGGGGGTAAAAGTACGCAGTGGTGTTTTGAAAATATTATGGTAAATACACCAATAGCTGAAGTACTTAAGGAAATTTCTTTGAACTTATAGCTAATAGGTAGGGGCGAGGTGGCCAAAAAAAAAAAAAAAAGGTAATCGGTATGTACATGTTTTTTTTTTTAATTTACTTATCTTTAAGTTATTTTATTTTTATTTATTGTTTTTACTTTTTGATTATTATTTAGTTGTTATTTTGCTTCTGTTTGTTTTATGTTTTTTTTTTACATATAATGTGATTGTATGGTTACCTTACTATAACCATTGTCCATGTGATAGAATGTTATATTACTTAATAAATACATACATAAAAAAAAACTTATAGGTATAAAAATTTAAACATTGATGTTATTGTATTTTTCTTGGATTTGCCATTTAGAACTACTTCTCACCTTCATGATACATCCATGTAAATTAAAAAAATAAAATTAAAGCAGACAAATATACATTAGAAAATAAAGAAACCATACATTTATGAAATAAAGGTCTATAATGCCTTTAAATCTTATTGTTACCATTTTTCGTGACGGTTGTCAGATATGGATCGATTTATAGACACCCTAACATAGCTTTCATATGATCACATAACACATGAGCACCAGTCTTAATGTATGTTGGATCAGTGCGAATTGGGAACGGAAGTTATGGTGCTACTATGGCTGTTTGCAATATTGAGATCTAATGTTATCAGTATTTTATTTAAGCACTTTATGAAGAAGACTCAGGCTTTGCGATGAATGACGAATTTGTCATTCTTTCATGTTGATACTGATTTATTCGAAATTTTAAATCATCACATACATTTCAGTTTTTACATGGTTCACAAACCTGTTGAGCTATTAAAAAAGAATTGACAGAAGGAGGTAAAAGTTTGCAAGGCCTGTAGGACTAAAGTACGCACTACGTATTGTTTTCTCATAGTGAGTAGTTCAACCCCACGAACTGCGTCAGACACAAATGTGACCCTGCATACAGCTGTGACCCTGATATGAGCTTCTCCGAAACAGATCCGGACGATAAAAAGGATGATAATGGTTCTCACTTGTTCCATAATGTAAACTTTGTAGTAGGGTTGCCATTCATCCTTCCGGTACAATTCAAACGAACTATACAATATACGTCAAATTCAATCATGAATTACAAATGGACTGATGAGAGACATGGATGTTCTCTAGTTATTATCACAAAGCAGAATTATTAATAATATTGAATACTCAAAAATATTATAGGACATTTTTTGAAAATATAAAACGTGATATACCTTTGTAAAGTTTATCAAGAGTTACAAAAAATATAAATGTGGAACATTCATTTATTAATGTCTTTTAGGTGGCGGGTAGGCCAAATGGGCTAACGCGTATGCCCGGCAACCAAATAACCGAATTTGTGAGAGATCGAAAATAAAAAGTAACAGTTCGCATTCCTGTGCCGGAGGGGATTTTAAATTCCCCGCCCTCACCCCCCGGCTCTAGAAAACCCCGTATAGCCTAAAAGGCGAGGTAAGGCAGAACAAAACAAAAATTAATTTGTTTAAATTATTATACATTAAAGTATTAATAATTGTTATTGAATTTACGATTAGTGTTAAGCGATTATATATACTTATTTAATAAATAATATTTTAAGGTTACGCTATTAGCTACTAGTACCCAATATATAATTCTTTTAAATAAACATGTTTATTGATTTTTATTATTAGTATAACATATTAAAAAGTTTTTATCTTAAAAAAATGTTCATCCTCTACTGAACTAATTTAAAACTTTAATAATCCGGCAATCCTACATTGTAACGTGAGGATACAAGATAAAACCAAGTTTTATTTTAACTTTTGTGTTGTTAAAATTATATTGATTTATTTTATTTATATATACTTTCTAATTATAATGGTTAGAACACAGCATTTTACAATCATGAGTACCCAACATCATAGGTGCAGACTTTTCTTTCTAGTTGAGGGGTGGGAAAGGCGATAGACCCCTCCCCCCCAAAAAAAGACTCGGAAGTTTATAATATATAAAATGAACAATATGATACTATATTATATAACACATATACATATTTTTATACTATTTATTAGTCTTAGTTTTTTTGCGTATGCGTTATGGGTATATTTAATTATACGTCAATAAATCAATTGAATATATTAAATATTTTTATTTTTATCTAAAGGTTTGAGGCAGCGAGTGAACTCTAAATTGTCCGATGCTTCAAATTTGCCGGGGGGAAATATAATAAAATCTTCACTTTCTTTTTTTTAGTTCTTAATGATATTTACAACTGTATTAAATAAATACATCTAGTAAATTAAATCTCCAATTAAAAATGGAAAGACACAAGAATAAATCATAAAACCCCAGGATATGTAACAGTATACAATTATCTTCGAATGAAACTAAAATGATAATTGTAATACCTCTGTTAACAATATTCCAATGGAGAAGGCTATTGGGCAGGATTTAGTGAAGGTCGTGATGTATAAACTAGAACATTGGAAAAACTGATTACCAATGTTTTTAAATAACAATAACTCGTAATAGATAATTTATAAATAATTTTCTTTTTTCCTCTTCAAATATTTATCCGTACCTGTCATGAAGGTGACAATAAGCATATTTGTCGTTATTGTTATCGGAAAATGTCACGTGATAAAAAACAAAAACGACATAATTTAAAAATTAGTCATTATAAAACATTAAAGCAATAGTAAAGTAATCCCGTCTAACGGATCTGGATTAATTCCATTCTGGGCCATACCGGCAGACATTGGAAGTCAAAACACATCAAACTTCCGGGATAGAAACCGGTCCCGTTTTAATAAATAAATTGTCAGGCAAGGCGCCGTTATTTTTTTTAATTTTTATTTTAAAATTAAGACATTGACACAAAAAGTAATTTATATTAACATTCATGAATATTTATTAAATTTATTTGAAATAAACATAAAATAGTCCGTGGTACAGGCCCCTTTTTATCGAATTATTAACATCCGCCTGAAACTTCGTAAATAGTTTCATCTCATCGTAACCTACAACTATTTTATTTACGAAAACTCTTGGAATTAGCGTTCAATCTGGAGGAAGGAAAACTTTGTCTATTTAATTAAGTATTAAAAACTCGTAAATACGCATTTGCTTTCCACATGGATGGTAAGATAATTTTTTCAGGAAATCTAGAAAACAGGTGGCCTCCAAAAATATTGAGCCTTTTGGCGTGACCTACACCCCAAAAATTTCAAACCTATTATATTATATTATAACCCCAAAAATCCTATAACGAGGTTATATAGGATAAAGAGCCCAATATATTTGTAGCCTACCTTTTTCTCGATTTCGTGATCAAATTATCTTACGATCCAAGTAAAAAGCAAATGGGTATTTACGAGTTTTCAGTGCCTAATTAAATAGACAAAGTTTGGTCCTCTACAGATTGCAAACGCCCCAATTCCAAGAGTTTTCTTAAATAAAATAGTTGTAGGTTACGATGAGATAAAACTATTTACGAAGTTTCAGGCGGATGTTAATAATTCGATAAATACGGGTCTGTACCATTGACTATAAAGTTTCTATGAGGCTGACACCTCTGACAGAAGAAGCAATATTTTTATTGTAATCTATTTTTGTTATAGTGAATATAAGGGTGAATATTATATTTTCTTTCAGTTAGGTTTCCTAATTTTTAAAATTATTTTTTTAACATTCATATAGCGACCTTAAATATTGCCCATATAACATTTTCATGGATTCTTCTTATTTATTTATTTTTTTAAATGTAGCTTAAACTTTTAATTTACCACGAGGTTACAACGTAAAATTTCAATGTTCAAAATTATTTGAATTAACAAAATTATGATATTCATTAAGGTAATTAGACTATGAGGAATAGGAAACAAATATTATCGGAGTTTGATTTTTTAAATAGCGTTGCAGTTTAAACTCACAGAAATAGACATTTCGAAACTAACTGCTCCGTCAAAATATTCACTTATACCGGTGAAAAACCTCAATATTTAGCCATAATAGCGATTATCCAATTGTGGGTATTGTTGATTGCATGTTGCACGCAAGGATGCAACAAACTTGCAGAGATAAGACTAATGACAAACCCATTAGGACTGTTACTATTATGAAAATTTAGCTCGTTTAAATAAATTATAAGTCAAATCAAAAGCAAATCATATTTTACGTATTACTGATTGCGGATGAACATTTATCGAAACAATATGAACAATTGTTAATTTTATTCAGTATAACTACATTTTTTATGTTAATTATTTTTTTTAATGAATAATTAGCAAATAACGGAATAAAAAATCCTCTATTTGCTGTTTATTCT